ACATGGCGCCGTCGATCGTCCCTTTGATGCGGTGAAGTTGTCCTGTCCCCTTAGCAGAAAAACACCCCCAAAGCATAATGTTTCCACCTCCATGTTTGACGGTGGGGATGGTGTTCTTGGGGTCATAGGCAGCATTCCTCCTCCTCCAAACACGGCGAGTTGAGTTGATGCCAAAGAGTTCGATTTTGGTCTCATCTGACCACAATACTTTCACCCAGTTCTCCTCTGAATCATTCAGATGTTCATTGGCAAACTTCAGACGGCCCTGTAAATGTGCTTTCTTGAGCAGGGGGACCTTGCGGGCGCTGCAGGATTTCAGTCCTTCACGGCGTAGTGTGTTACCAATTGTTTTCTTGGTGAATATGGTCCCAGCTGCCTTGAGATCATTGACAAGATCCTCCCGTGTAGTTCTGGGCTCATTCCTCACCGTTCTCATGATCATTGCAACTCCACGAGGTGAGATCTTGCATGGAGCCCCAGGCCGAGGGAGATTGACAGTTATTTTGTGTTTCTTCCATTTGCGAATAATCGCACCAACTGTTGTCACCTTCTCACCAAGCTGCTTGGCGATGGTCTTGTAGCCCATTCCAGCCTTGTGTAGGTCTACAATCTTGTCCCTGACATCCTTGGAGAGCTCTTTGGTCTTGGCCATGGTGGAGAGTTTGGAATCTGATTGATTGATTGCTTCTGTGGACAGGTGTCTTTTATACAGGTAACAAACTGAGATTAGGAGCACTCCCTTTAAGAGTGTGCTCCTAATCTCAGCTCGATACCTGTATAAAAGACACCTGGGAGCCAGAAATCTTTCTGATTGAGAGGGGGTCAAATACTTATTTCCCTCATTAAAATGCAAATGAATTTATAACATTTTTGACATGCGTTTTTCTGGATTTTTTTGTTGTTATTCTGTCTCTCACTGTTCAAATAAACCTACCATTAAAATTATAGACTGATCATTTCTTTGTCAGTGGGCAAACGTACAAAATCAGCAGGGGATCAAATACTTTTTTCCCTCACTGTAAAAGAGGGGGATGGGGTGGGGTGGGGGGGCAGTGCAAATAGTCTGGTTAGCCATGATTAGCTGTTAAGGAGTCTTATGGCTTGGGGGTAGAAGCTGTTGAGAAGCCTTTTGGACCTAGACTTGGCATTCCGGTACCGCTTGCCGTGCGGTAGCAGAGAGAACAGTCTATGACTTGGGTGACTGGGGTCTTTGACAATTTTTAGGGCATTCCTCTGACACCGCCTGGTATAGTCCTGGATGGCAGGAAGCTTGGCCCCAGTGATGTACTGGGCTGTACGCACTACCCTCTGTAGTGCCTTGCGGTCAGAGGCCGAGCAGTTGCCATACCAGACGGTGATGCAACCAGTCAGGATGCTCTCGATGGTGCAGCTGTAGAACTTTTTGAGGATCTGAGGACCCATGCCAAATCTGAGGGGGCTTTGTCGTGCCCACTTCACGACTTTCTTGGTGTGTTTGGACCATGATAGTTTGTTGGTGATGTGGACACCAAGGAACTTGAAGTTCTCAACCTGTTCCACTACAGCACCGTCGATGAGAATGGGGGCGTGCTCAGTCCTCTTTTTTTTTCCTGTAGTCCACAATCATCTCCTTTGTCTTGATCACGTTGAGGGAGAGGTTGTTGACCTGGCACCACACGGCCAAGTCTCCGACCTCCTCCCTATAGGCTGTCTCATCGTTGTCGGTTATCAGACCTACCACTGTTGTGTCGTCGGCAAACTTAATGATGGTGTTGGAGTCGTGCCTGGCCATGCAGTCATGGGTGAACAGGGAGTACAGGAGGGGACTGAGCACGCACCCATGAGGGGCCCCCGTGTTGAGGATCAGCGTGGCAGATGTGTTGTTACCTACCCTTACCACCTGGGGGCGGTCCGTCAGGAAGTCCAGGATCCAGTTGCAGAGGGAGGTGTTTAGTCCCAGGATCCTTAGCTTAGTGATGAGCTTTGAGGGCACTATGGTGTTGAACGCTGAGCTGTAGTCAATGAATAGCATTCTCACGTAGGTGTTCCTCTTGTCCAGGTGGGAAAGGGCAGTGTGGAGTGCAATAGAGATTGCATCATCTGTGGATCTGTTGGGGCGGTATGCCAATTGGAGTGGGTCTAGGGTTTCTGGGATAATGGTGTTGATGTGAGCCATGACCAGTCTTTCAAAGCACTTCATGGCTACAGACGTGAGTGCTACGGGTCGGTAGTCATTTAGGCAGGTTATCTTAGTGTCCTTGGGCACAGGGACTATGGTGGTCTGCTTGAAACATGTTGGTATTACAGACTCAGTCAGGGACATGTTGAAAATGTCAGTGAAGACACTTGCCAGTTGGTCAGCACATGCTCGGAGTACACGTCCTGGGAATCCGTCTGGCCCTGCGGCCTTGTGAATGTTGACCTGCTAAAAAGTCTTACTCACATCGGCTATGGAGAGCGTGATCACATAGTCATCTGGAACAGCTGATGCTCTCATGCATGCCTCAGTGTTGCTTGCCTCGAAGCGAGCATAGAAGTGATTTAGCTCATCTGGTAGGCTAGTGTCACTGGGCAGCTCGCGGCTGTGCTTCCCTTTGTAGTCTGTAATAGTTTTCAAGCCCTGCCACATCCAACGAGCATCAGAGCCGGTGTAGTACGATTCAATCTTAGTCCTGTATTGACTCTTTGCCTGTTTGATGGTTTGTCGGAGGGCATAGCGGGATTTCTTATAAGCATCCGGGTTAGAGTCCCGCTCCTTGAAAGCGGCAGCTCTACCCTTTAGCTCAGTGCGGATGTTGCCTGTAATCCATGGCTTCTGGTTGGGGTATGTACGTACGGTCACTGTGGGGATGACGACATCGATGCACTTATTGATGAAGCCAGTGACTGATGTGGTGTACTTCTCAATGCTATCTGAAGAATCCCAGAACATATTCCAGTCTGTGCTAGCAAAACAGTCCTATAGCTTAGCATCTGCGTCATCTGACCACTTTTTTATTAACTGAGTCACTGGCGCTTCCTGCTTTAGTTTTTGCTTATAAGCAGGAATCAGGAGGATAGAGTTATGGTCAGATTTGCCAAATGGAGGGCGAGGGAGAGCTTTGTATGCGTCTCTGTGTGTGGAGTAAAGGTGGTCTAGAGTTTTTTTTCCTCTGGTTGCACATTTAACATGCTGGTAGAAATTAGGTAGAACGGATTTAAGTTTCGCTGCATTAAAGTCCCCGGCCACTAGGAGCGCTGCCTCTGGATGAGCGTTTTCCTGTTTACTTATGGCCTTATACAGCTCATTGAGTGCAATCTTAGTTCCAGCATCGGTTTGTGGTGGTAGATAGACAGCTACGAAAAATATAGATGAAAACTCTCTTGGTAAATATTGTGGTCTACAGCTTATCATGAGATACTCTACCTCCGGCTGCAAAACCTCGTGACTTCCTTAGTGTTAGATTTTATGCACCAGCTGTTGTTTACAAATATACACAGACCGCCACCCCTTGTCTTACCGGAGTCAGCCATTCTATCCTGACAATGTAGCGTATATCCCGCCAGCTGTATGTTATCAATGTCGTTGTTCAGCCACGACTCGGTGAAACATAAGATATTACAGTTTTTAATGTCCCGTTGGTAGGATAACCTTAATCGTAGGTCGTCCAATTTGTTTTCAAATGATTGAACATATTCCCAGTCGTCCCTTCTGCCATTTCAGCCAAGAGGAGAAGGTCACAAACAGCCCCTGGTGGGAGCTGCTGCTGCTGCCTGCACTCCACTCCAACATGGTCATGGTCATAGGTCCAGAGACAGATGCAGTTAGTGTGCAGCCAGCCTCATCACAGGACATACTCCTCATCTAGCAGACAGACAGACAGACAGACAGACACAGGGTCTGCATCCCAAATGGCATGCTATTCCCTGTATAGTGCTCTACTTTGATGCAACCTAGATGACCTAATGAAGAGAGCTAATTGCATCAATATATCAATTTCTGATCTATTGACAGTTTTTCTTGGCATCAGTCCTAAAAGGACTCACTATCTGCTTTGGATGTTAAAGTTGTTATCCTCAAAAATCAATTTACAGGGACTGTATAATTCATTGGCAGGAGCTGCACAATGTTTTCTGTTTCTTAAAACAATGACATTTTTACATGATCCTGATCGATTCAGAGCAGCATACATCATGATCATTTATACAGTCTTTGTGACACAGTCTTGCCTCAGGGCCTCTGCAGCACACAGTCCAGGCTGTGCTGAATATGGTTTGGTGGCTCTGGGGTTAGGCTGAGGCCAGTGGACCTCCAGTGTTGTTAAATCCCCAACTGTTTCAATTAATGAATTAACGTTTACAGCAGTGTTATTTGCTATGAATTCTGCAGATTTATAAACCGTATATTGTCACTAAAACCATTTGGGTTTTTTGTTGTGTTATAATAAAAACGTCTCATTTTTACTGTTTCAACACACAGAGACACACCCGTGAATCTCTGTTTTGCTGTAGTACATATTATTGCATGCACACAAGCCTATCAGAAATGATGTATCTGTGATGCAGTATTTCTAACCATTGGGGGACATTAGAGAAATGAACAAGGCCCATTTTGCTGACCACACATTTTCATCACAGTGAGTCATTGCACAGCTAATTCTCTTTCTTTCTCCCTCTATCCTTCTTTCCTCCATCTTCTATCTGCAGGTTCTGAAACTGAGATGGTGGTGAGATCCACTTCTTCATAGATCTGCCCCCCTGATGTCCATGGAATCTTTGTAACCACAGCAGGTAGTTCCACGTCATCAAGATGATCTCCACCCAGAGACTATAGTTCCTCCTTCCTCCATTGGAGGGCCACTGTGAAGAGGGAAGTGGGAGGGTGAAGGAGCCTCCTGTTGTCAGAGAAAGCGCTTCAGAGCCTGCTGGGGAAAGCGAAGGGAACCATGTAGTGTCTTTTTCTCCACTCAGGGGGAGGGTAGATTTGAGTTTTTTCCCCATTGATTTTAGTGTAAAAGTGTTTTATGTGAGCCAGAGAAGAGATGGTCCTCCACACCTCTCCCTACTCTAGTGTCTTCCTACGGTGCCTCAGCAGCCTGTCATGGGGCTTCATCTTCCCCTGCTACTGGCTGCTGGACCGCCTGCTGGCCTCCTGCGTGGCAACCTCTCTGGAGAAGCGCCGGCGCTCCCAGGACCCCTGCTCCTTTGTGACGCTGTATGTGCTGGTGTCCACCCCGCTCTACCTGCTGCTCCTCCTGGCCTCGCTGCCCTTCGCTCTGCTGGGCTTCCTGCTGTGGGCTCCCCTGCAGGCGGCCCGCCATCCCTATCTCTACACCCACCGCTGCCCAGACAAGCACCAGGCCGAGCAGGGGGGTGTGGCGTCACTGGCCAACTGGAGGCCGCAGGGCCGCAGCTTCTGCTTTGGCAGTTCCAATGCGTGCCTATTGCCAGACTCCCTGGCACGCTTCAACAACCTGTCTGAGACCCAGCGCCGTGCACGCGAGGTGGGCAAGCGCATCCGTAACGGGGCCAGCCGGCCGCAGATCAAGATATACATTGACTCCCCCACCAACACCTCCATCAGTGCCACCTCCTTCAGCAGCCTGGTCACAGGGTTCCGACGCACATCCTCACTGGGTCAGCGGCCCGACAACACAGTCGAGGCCGAGACCGAACCCTTAACTGCCTGCCCAATACACACTGCAGGTGCAGACTGCCCAATACACACCACAGGTCCAAACTGCCCCATACACACTGCAGGTGCTGACTGCTCCATACACTCAACAGGGGACCAGGTCTCCGCAGATTGTCCCGTCCATGTAGCTGGTGGAGAGAACACACCAGAGTGCCCCCTTCACACTGCTGGTGCCCAGAACAGCTCTGACTGCCCAGGGCACACCACAGGGGCCCAGAACTCCCCAGACTGCCCCATGCACACCTCGGGGGTCCAGATCAGTATCAGTGCCCCAGAGCCAGACCCCCCAGAGGCCGGGACAGGGAATCACCAAAGAGAAGGTGATGCAGAGAGTCTGACAGGGGGGGTGCCTTCTAACAACACCCTGTCCCACCGCACCTCCGTGTTCAAGAAGCACACCGGTCGCAAGCGGCGCCAAGGCGACGACGGATTCGACCACGAGATCTCTGCCTTCTTCCCTGCCAACCTGGACTTCCTGTGTCTGCAGGAAGTGTTTGACCACCGGGCCACGTCCAGGCTGAGGCGACAGCTGCACCACTACTTCCCCTACATCCTGAGTGATGTGGGCCGCTACGCCTGGAAGGGCTGCTGCTCCCGCTTCAAGTTCCTGAACAGCGGCGTCATGCTGGCCAGCCGCTATCCCATACTGGATGCCCACTATGAGTGCTACCACAACGGGCGAGGGGAAGACGCCCTCGCAGCCAAAGGAGCCCTCTTTGTCAAGGTGAGGTGTTTTTTCTCTGTCTTTCCTAATGATAGCATTGGCAAGTGCTGTAAATAAATCGCTGTCAATGTGTAAAAGGCTGAAGGAATTATCATAATTAGGCTAGTACTTTTCAACCAGGTGAGTTTTACCAATGTGTTATTGCCTCTTATTGGGCCATGATTTTGGTGAAGGACATCTGGCTGCTTTTTGGGGTTGGATCTGTTTCCACTGTTATTGGACAGACATATTCAATCTAACTGTCACAGAAACTCTGTGAACAAAACAATGTTTAATTATTTAGGCATAGTTCCCTGTACCCTTGGCTTGGGGGGATTTTGAAGTTGAACATCTCTCCTGAAATCCTGGCAGAGACCAGGACAAAAATAAATATATTTGTATTCCTTTTATTCAGTCTCAAATAAAACAGTAGGCCTTAATTTTCATTTGAGGGTTGCAGATATGTGTCTACCCTCTGTTCAAAGGGTGGTGTCATTTCAGCAGTTTTTGCTATTCCCATATCTATGTCTTTGATTACAATTGGGTGGGCTCACTTTTTATACCATGACAGTATTTCTGAAGTTCTAAAACAAGCCAGGTCTCTTTTTGTATGTTGTAGTGACACTAAAACAGTTTCAAGAACAACATTTGAATTAGCACAGGGCATCAGGAGCTTGTTGTAGCCTATTTGATCTTCCTTTTTAAGGATAATCTTCTATTACAGCTGTTTTTGGGCTTTTGAGTTGCTCCAAAACTACAGACCGCAGCTTTTCCTAAAACATAAATTAAAACATATATTTAGCTAGAATGTTAGTCTCTCCCATTCCCAGCAGTGAGCTATGGTAGTCTGCTGCCGTGGCAGTGCTGTGCCGTGTGCTGTGGGTGACTGACGAGGCTCTGTGTGTTATCGCCATTGGGGAGAGTGATGACAGGCAGAGCGGAGCAGGGCTTTGGTTCATTAATCACTAACCTGCGTGGCTGGGGCTGAGGCTGTGTGGCTGGGGCTGAGGCTGTGTGGCTGAGGCTGTTTGGCTGGGGCTATGGGGCTGAGGCTGTGTGGCTGGGGCTGAGGCTGTGTGGCTGGGGCTGAGGCTGTGTGGCTGAGGCTGTTTGGCTGGGGCTATGGGGCTGAGGCTGTGTGGCTGGGGCTGAGGCTGTGTGGCTGAGGCTGTTTGGCTGGGGCTATGGGGCTGAGGCTGTGTGTCTGGAGCAGAGGCTGTGTGTCTGGGGCTGAGGCTGTGTATCTGGGGCTGGGGCTGTGTGGCTTGGGCTGAGACTGTTTGGCTGGGGCTATGGGGCTGAGGCTGTGTGTCTGGAGCAGAGGCTGTGTGTCTGGGGCTGAGGCTGTGTATCTGGGGCTGGGGCTGTGTGGCTTGGGCTGAGACTGTTTGGCTGGGGCTATGGGGCTGAGGCTGTGTGTCTGGGGCTGTGTGGCGTGGGCTGAGGCTGTGTGTCTGGGGCTGGGGCTGGGGCTGTGGCTGAGGCTGTGTGGCTAGCCTGTGGCTGGGGCTGTAGCTGTAGTGATGGCTATGTAGCAAATAGGGTGCCATTTGGGATGCATCCCTGGTTCTGGCTGGGCTTCAGGTCCCACTGGCGCAGCTCAGCCTGAAGGTGATGACGGATCTGGAAGACGCTAGGAGGCTGACAGGCCTGCTAAATACTGTAGGCACCTTGTAGTTCTACCACTCTGAACCATGTTTGATAACTCCCCCTGCTGGCTATTGCTTCAGATAACAAGCTCACATGGTTTTGCCTCTAAGTGCCTCCCTCCCTCCTCCCCTGGATCATTCTGGGTCACCATCTCACTGTCTCCAGAGCTCCTGTAGTACTGACCCTTAGCTGCAGGATTCTAATACAGCTTGACCCCACAGATTAGTAGGCTTCAGCAGTAGCAGTGTGTAGGTAAAATCACTGAGGAAGCCAAGCCAAGCCAGTAAAAAATCCATATTACAACCTATGTTGTGATAATTGCATTGTTTGCTCTATAACCCATTCGTTCATATGCCAGCGTGATATACAATAAGGCTTTGACAACAAAAAGACAACAGTCACACAATGGCGGAATAAATTCAGCTACACATAAGTTTTTTTCATCACAAAACCGGAGAGCAACATCTGTCCACTGAAGTCCACAAAGCAAATATTGCATGTAACAAACAGTTATATGACCTGCAGCATGGTCAAGCAAGTTAATGTTTTTGACAGTTTCCTAAACAGCTATTGATTTAGAGCCACAGAGTTACCTCTAGTCAGCACAAAGACAACAGGAGTTTAGTTTAATACACTGAAAACAAACTTTAAGATACCAAAAACAATTTAGTCCAATCAATGTTGCTAAATATCTTGTGGCTGTCCATGGCACTGATTTCTGTGTGTGTGTGTGTGTGTGTGTGTGTGTGTGTGTGTGTGTGTGTGTGTGTGTGTGTGTGTGTGTGTGTGTGTGTGTGTGTGTGTGTGTGTGTGTGTGTGTGTGTGTGTGTGTGCGCGCGCAAGTAAAAACAATTTTTTACTCACCCTACTTGTAGACTAGTTGAACGCCAATGCATCCTCCTCTCTTTCATGTTGGCAAACGGTCTATGGCTTGCTGGCATCAATCAATCAAATGCTACGGCCACTACATGTCATACTCTTTTGGTCCAGACAGCATCAGATACATGGGCTACACATACTGAGACAGAGGGGCGCTGTTTCGCTCACTCTGATGATTTCTCCAGTGAGATTCAGCCACTTGCAAAATGATGGAAAATTATAAAAACACAGTGTTTTTTTTTATTGGTCAAATATTTGGGGAAGCCTGGCTTCTCTTGCCATCCATGAATACACGCCACTGGGCTTCAGAAATAATTATGTATCCCAGGGATCTTTCTCTCCAAGTTTGGGAGTCTTGTGACCAAACAAATATTATCTAACAGTCTACGGTGTAAGCAGACCTACATGAAGTGAAAGTGGCAGATTTCACTTGCAATACAAAGTGACAGACTCATTACAAAGACATGAGCTCTGGAGACAAAAGGAGGGAGGGAGGGAGGGAGGGAGGGAGGGAGGGGGGGGGGGGGAGGGAGGGGTGTAGAGATAGAACATTAATTAAGAATGTCTCCCTGAAGAGTGAGCAACCCTGTAATTAAACGTATCCTTCTTATTATTATTTAAAACCACAAAGGACAAGGGTGAAGGAGGAGTGTGTGTGTGTGTGTGTGTGTGTGTGTGTGTGTGTGTGTGTGTGTGTGTGTGTGTGTGTGTGTGTGTGCGTGCTGTGTGCGTGCATGTTTGTGTGTGGTTTGAATACATTACAGAGAAAACCTCAAAACAGGGCCAGGCCCACTCAAAGTACACATCAAATGGAAATCAATGAAATAAATAAACCCATAGCTTCTCCTCTCAGTGCTGAGGTCAACTCCATTTGTTGATATAAATCACCTTCCTTCCTGGGGATAAAGGGCTTTGCTTTTACTCTGCCTGTGTCAATGTGAAAGTCTATTTAAGCATTGGACACAGTAATGAGGTACAGTAGAGGTCTTGGCTCCTCTTTCTAGCCTCCATGCTGAGAGAGAAAAAGGTCTGGGTGCAGGAGAATTTAAAGCGGGTCACATATCTAGTCCTTTGGGATCACATGGACCTTTTACACTGCTACTAGTTTAGTCAGTTCCAATTATCATACTCAACATGATCATTTATTTATTTTCTCACACAGCCTACGTAAAACACAAACACACAGCGACACACACATGTGCACACACACACATGTAAGTGCACACACACACATACACACATACACACAAGCGGCTCTAGACACATACCCCTGATTCCCTTCAGGCCTGTTGTCAGTTCCGGAGCGCACACCTACCCAAGCATGGATAAGCCTCTGAAATATTCATACACAGGGACACAGGCAGTGAAAGAGAGAGAAGTTGAAAGACAGAGAGAGAGAGAGAGAATGGGGAACAGGAACAAGGGTGAGAGAGTTGGGGAGGCAGCAGCTCCAGCTCTACAGACTGTCTAAGTCTGGGTCAGGGACAGTACAGTGTGTGGACAGGTTATGGCTGGACCTAGAGTTTACTGCTTCTTAATTGAATTAATGCTGCAAATCTCTGTGGGGGGAAATGTCACTGAATGTATTATGTTTGAGGTCTAAAATGTAAAGCTTGCATTTCATATTAAAGTCTAGCTAAGTGGGCTAATGCTTTATTGGTCCTCAGCATTTACTGTGAGGGCCTTGATGGTGAGACCAAGCCAAGACTGCAATTCAGTGATTGGATGACTGCACAGTGACTGAACAGAGAGCTTGAATACACTGTAATCAAATCTAATCCAACCTACAATAGCCCTTATCACAGAGGAGGCCTATTCAGAGATCTCTTCATAAAGGTCTTTAGAGAGACTTTTTCTGATACTGCGTGACACTTCAGAACACTGCACGTTTTCAACCCACACTATCAAATACTCTAGCATACCCCTATACCCTACACCCGACTGTGTAGTCCACCCACCCCTAACACTCAAGAGCACCAGTCCATCCATTCAGTATCAATTTTTGGCCCAGGCTCACAGACCCAGTGTAATCTGTTTCAAAGAGGGACAATGTCAGAGAAAACAGTGTTGGAGAGGGGAGACGAGAGTGAGGGAGAGGATGGAGAATGAGAGTTTTGGTATTGGGCCAATGACAGAGAAGGTGATATGTGATATTATGTGGTGTAAATGCGGTATTAAATGTTTTCTAATTCAATGTTCGATCAACTTGTTGACAGAGATATTTAACTTGCTCTTTGTCTCTCCCTATTTACTACAGGTGCAGGTAGGCACCTCCCATCAGGAGCAGAGAGTTGTGGGATATCTCACCTGCACTCATCTGCATGCCATTGAAGGTACGTTGAGATAGAACAATACACATTCACAAAGCAATACATTTTGAGCTGCTTTTTTAATTGGATCCCAGCAATATCACTTCTTCTCCCTAGTGTCTGAATGGGTCTATTCTGGCTCTGTGGTCTTATGTGAATATCAGAGAGAAATAGGACGAATGTTATGGAATAAAAAAAGGGTTTGAGAGTGATTGTACCTGTACAGGTGAGTGTGTGAAC